TGATGGCGACGATGATGATGATAATGCTGAAGATGATGATGACGCTGCTGCATGCGATGGCGATGATGATGATGATGATGATACTACGATGCTGGTATGTTATGATGCTGCTGATGATGACGACGGTGGTGTTGGAGGTGGTGTCGTTGATGTGGATGTTGATGTTGATGTCGACGCTGATGTTGATGTTGATGTGTATCTGGATGTGGTTGTGGACGTGGTGTTAATGGCGATCGCGTTGTTGATGACGGTGCTGATTATGATGATGCTGATGATGCTGATGATGATGCTGCTGATGATGACGATGAAGGTGATGGTGATGGTGATGATAATGCTGATGATGCTGATGATGATGATGGCAATGGTGACGGTAACGGCGACGATGATGATGATACTGCTGATGATGTTGATGATGGAGATGATGATGACGCTGCTGCTTGTGATGGCGATGATGATGACGATACTACGATGCTGGTATGTTATGATGCTGCTGATGATGACGACGGTGGTGTTGGAGGTGGTGTCGTTGATGTGGATGTTGATGTTGATGTTGATGCCGACGCTGATGTTGACGTTGATGTGTATCTGGATGTGGTTGTGGACGTGGATGTCAATGGTGATCGTGATGATGCTGATGACGATGCTGATTTTGACGATGATGATGCTGATGCTGATGATGATGCTGATGATGATGCTGCTGCTGATTATGACGATGATTGTGATGGTGATGGTGATTTTGATGCTGATGCTGATGCTGATGCTGATGATGATGCTGATGCTGATGATGATGCTAATGCTGATGCTGATGATGATGATGAAGAAGATGATGATGACGATGACGATGACGATGATAATGATGCTGATGATGGTGATGATGATGATGATGCTCATTCTGTTGATGATGATGTTGATGATGATGATGATGATGATGATGCTTCTGATGATGATGATGACGATGATTCTTCTTCTTCTTCTTCTTCGTATGATTATTATTGATATTGTTATTATTATTATTTTTATTATGCTTTACGAGGGGCCGTACGCGATCATCGCGTTATTTACGGGGGATCGTGGCTTCGTTGTCGCAGATATCGTATGATTTGCGAAGGTTCATGCCTCCGAGGACGCGAATCTGATGTCGTTTCCGAGGGACCGTGGCCTCGGGGACGTGAGTATTGAGTAATGTACTGGGGATCGTCGCCTCGGGGACGCGAACATGGTGTAATTTGCAATCGGCCGTGTCCTCGGGTACGCGAGTCTTGTATAAGTTACGTGGGATCGTGGACTCGATGACGCATGTATCATGTGACTTGCAAAGGTTTACGGCCTCGGGGGCGCGAATGGTAATTCACAAAGGATTATAGCTTCGAAGGCGCGACCATGACGTAATTTACGAGGAATGATGGCCTCGGGGGCGCGAACGTTGTATGATATGTTTAGGTTTATCGCCCCGGGAACGCGAATATGGTGTACTTTGAAAGGCTTTCTGGCCTCGGGGACGCAAGCAGTGCACAATGTTCACTGATTATGTCCTCGGGGACGCGAACCTGATATTTTTGTTTTTGAGTTTATATGTCCTCGGGTTCGCGAATATGGTGTAATTTGCAAGGTTTTTTTTGTCTCGCGGGCGCGAATCTCAATTAATTTTACGCGTCCCACGACCCCCTCAGGAATTCTGAGACCCCAGGGAGGGCGTGGTGTAGGCTCGATTGGCCCCCCCCCCTCGCGCGGACTTCAACATTTTACAGTAGGAATCAGAAAGTAGAACCATCACATTGGAAACTGGAACCTGGAACTGGTGCAGGGAGCAGCAGGCCTAAGCGGCGCAGCCTGGCGGCCCCACAAGAGGGCTGGTGGATTATGCGACTCGACTGTAGTTGTGGCGATGTCCGAGCAGCTGCGCCGACGGAGTGCTGCGCAGCAGGACCCAGTCGGCCCTTGGACTCGACAGCAAACGGGACGACCGCCTCGCCGCACTGGACCGATGATGACGATGATGATGACGATGATGATGCCGATGATGATGACGCTGATGATGATGATGATGATGATGATGATGATGATGATGATGATGATGATGATAATGGTTGTGGTGATGTTGGCGATTATATGATGGTGGTAACGGTGATGATGGTAATGCTGATACTGATTCTGTTGATGATGGTGATGATGTTGATGATGATGATTAGGATGTTGCTGCTGACGATGACGATGATGAGGATGACGAGGATGAGGATGATGTCGATGAGGATGATGATGAGGATAATGCTGATGGTGATGACGATGACGATGACGATGATGATAATGATGCTGATGGTGATGCTTGTGATTCTGATTATGATGATGCTGATGATGATGATGATGACCATGATGATGATGCTGCTGCTGGTTCGACGATGGTGATGATGACGATGATGATGCTGAGGATGAGGATGATGATGAGGACTAGGATAAGGACGAGAACGAGGAGGAGGAGGATCAGGATGATGAGGAGGAGGATAATGAGGATGATGATGGTGATGATGAGGATGATGATGAGAATGATGAGGATGATGAGGATGATGAGGATGATGCTCAGGATGATAATGGTGATGATGATGCTTGTTATGGTGATACTGCTGTTGCTGATGATGATGACGATGATGACGATGATGATGATGCTGATAATGATTTTGATGACTATGATACGTGATGACGACGGTGATGATGACGATGATGATGCTGAGGATGAGGAGGATGATGATGATGCTGATGACGATGATGAGGATGAGGATGAGGATGAGGATGATGGTGATGGTGATGCTGATGAGGATGGTGGTGATGATGATTATATGAGGATGAGGATGAGGGTAATGATGATGCTGAGTATGATGATGATGGTGATGTTGTTGTTGTTGTTGCTGTTGTTGTTGTTGTTGTTGTTGTTGTTTCGGATGATGATGTATATGATGATGCTGATGACGATGATGTAGATGTAGATGATGATGATGCTGATGATGATGATCATGGTGATGCTGATGATAATGATGCTGATGGTGATGATAATTAGCATGATGACTATGGTGATAAAAGGTGACGACGATGATGACGATGATGATGCTGAGAATAATGATGATGAGGAGGATGATGATGATTAGGATGAGGATGATGATGATACTGAGGATGATGCTCAGGATGATGATGGTGATGATGATGCGTGTGACGGTGATGCTGCTGCTGCAGATGAGGATGACGATGATGATGATGATGCAGCTGATAATGTTTCTGATGACTATGACGATACATGATGAAGACGGCGATGATGATGATGATGATGATGATGATGATGCTGAGGATGAGGATGATGATGATGATGCTCATGATGAGGTTGAGGTTGATGAGGAAGATGATAGTGATGATGATGATGATGATGACGAATAGGATGATGATGACGATGCCGATGATGATGATGATGATGATGATGATGATGATGATGATGGTGATGGTGATGGTGATGGTGATGATGATGTTTGTGATGGTGATGCTGCTGCTGCGGCTGCTGCTGCTGATGGTGATGCTAAGTCATTTTGCTATGATCACGATGATGAGGATGGTGGTGGTGGTGGTAATGGTGATGGTGGTGGTGGTGATGATGATACTGATGATGATTCTTTATGATGATGATGATGATGATGATGGTGGTGATGGTGATGGTGATGGTGATGGTGATGGTGATGATGATGATGATGATGATGATGATGATGAGGATGAGGATGAGGATGAGGATGATGATGATGATGATGATGATGATGATGATGATGATGATGATGATGATGATGATGATGATGATGATGATGATGGTGACGCTTACGCTTGCAACAAAGCCGCACACCGTTGCCAGCGATCTGCCTCAGGTTTTCTACCGTTCACTCAAGACTTGCGTTATGGCTTCGACAGTGTGCGCCAATTGCGGGGCTTCCCTTGATGAAACGGCTGTATCTTGTGAGCGCGCGAATCTCAAATTTCTTACCGCGGGCCCCCCTCCTCTTGTCTCTCCTCCCCTTCTCCCCCATTCTACCTGCTTCCCGTTCTCCTCCCTTCTTCCCGCATCCTTCCTCCTCCTTCGCGTATTGAGGTTCGCGTCCCCGGCCGGCCTGATCGAAGGACGGCGAGCAGAACCCAGACGATTCCAGGAGCGAGGGCGTCTTTGAATTACGGGGCTGCATCGCCGCTGACCATTGAACGCCGAACAGTGCCATGCTAGCAAGCCGCGAAGGGCACTCTGCGCCAGAGTCCTCGGCCCACCATCTCTTAAACCATTATGTTTCAATGCCGCTTCCCTCCTCGTCTGATTCGACTGGCAGTCATCTTCGGTAGCATCTTGGCATTATTGCGCCCTTTTGTCCGTGCTGTCCATTGGTTTTGTTGATTTGATTTGTTTCTTCATGCCTGGCAAGGTTTCATCTCGCCGAACGACTCCAAGCTTGGTGTGGGGACGGGGGAGGGGAGAAGAGGGGCAGAGGGAGTTGAGGAAATGAGAGGAGGGGGAATGGTGGAACACAGGGGAGGAGGGAGACGAGAGGAAACGAGATGGGCGAGGGACGGCAGGAGAGGCGGAGAGAGGCGGAGGGAGAGGCAGGGGTTGTCAAGAGTTGGTCCAGGCCTCCCTTTGGGATTCGAATAGATGGGGTCGCAGGATCGCGCCGCCATCGCCAATGCATTGTCGATCCGGCTCTATGTGGGGCCAGGTTTTCGCCATGCTGACTGCGCCGATGCATCGCCGACGTCGCCGATCCATCGCCAGTGCATCTGCGATGCATTTGCGTTGCGGCGCGATCCTCCGACCCCATCTGCTCGGCCCACGTTTGCTGTTTGGGAGGCCTCCAATGAGATGGGAGGGTGTACCGAAGGACGAGGGAGGTGGGAGGAGAGGAGGTCGTACCTCTTCTCCTACCATGGAGTCAGATTCCCCTTATTCGTGGGGTTGAGCGTCACATAATGTTTCGTTCCCGAAAGGGGAA